ATTACTGAAAGTGAATGGCATCAAGTCAAATAGAGCGTTACCTCCGCCCATTATAACTTTATAGCGATCGACAGTGCCCGTCTGGTTCAAAATATGCATACTTACTAAAATATATAGACTCACTTTTCAACCAGTGAATTTAAGACTATTCTTCTTCATTTCTGGTACCGAAAATACACAAATTTTATAACGCGTTTAAATATAAATTTTAAGGCTTCAATTATGCTAACGTAGATATATTATTTTGTCCACTTATCTACTCTAAGCAATGTAATGATTTTAATAAAAACTTTAAACCTGGTCATTTAATATATCTTAAAAATTATATACACTATATAAATAAATACGCAAGAAAAATGTGACAGTAAAAGTTCATAAAGCGGGTGAAAATTTTCGGATCGAGCAACAATGAGAATTTCACGACTATCAGAACAATTCAGCCAGCTTCGGCGAAGGCAAGCGTAGGAATTACAGCAGCTGAAATAAAGTCACTATGTAAAACTGGCACAGATGCAACAAACTGTCGGTTGGAAAAGTCAACTTTTGTGGGAGGTGTTGCCACAAATGGCATTTTAAGATGTTCTCGAGAGGAAAGGAAAGTGCAATTACGATTTACAAAGAAAGTCAGAATTATCTCGATTTCTTGGAATCTTCTTTGGGATCGCTTTTCGTAGAAAGTTCATGTTCAAAGGATTCGCCAAATTCATTGATGCGAGACTTGTCGACAGGATACAGCCATCTTTGGTAGAGGTAAATGACGAAAATGACGTCATCACGGAAACAGGCTAAGCGATGAGCGGTGGGCATGGTGATGATGAAGGCGAAGAGGTCATCGATGAAAGTGTTGAAGGCCTTGTACATAAACGCTCTCCACGGGAGATGAGCTACGGACTTCAATTTATAGTTGACGAATAGCTGTGGTAGCATGAAAAGGAAGCCAAACGCGTACACACCGTTGGCGATGTTTTGGATGATCCAACTGTACCAACTTCGATGCGGTACATAGACAAGACTGTAAGCAGATCCAGCGATACACAACGGGAACAACAGCCAAGCAACATAGGTCATTCCCTCAGAGTCGAACCGCTCCGTCTCCAACTCCTCACGGTTGCTGACACCCAGTCGAAAGCGAGGAAACATCCGCTGAGTCAAAGTTAGTTCCACCTTAAACGCTTTGGTGACCTTCCAAAGTTCGATGACTACACCTATGGCAGTAGGAATTAATACCAAGAGACTGGTGTTTTCATCGAGCAAATACATAAAGATTACTGCCTGACTAAAACACCGCCATACCACCGTTCTACTTGACAATCCGACCATATTCTTGCGACCCTTCCAAAAACTGATGTCATTCTTAAACGCCAGAAAGTCCAAAAGGATATGTATCGAGGCGACGAAGAATGTCACTGCCAATAAGTAAAAGTTGGTATCCGTGAAGATGCCCCGTACTTCTTCGATGTCATTATCCGTAAAGCCGAGTTCCTTCATTTTTTCCAATGACTGCTGCGCATTCATCAACAGCCTTATTTTGCCAATGGAACACGGCATGTATTTCAGGCTTACATTTACCTCACGCATTTCGTCTGAGATCTGAACCGAGTCCTTCGATCGAAAACTGAGCGTATCCAAGTAGAACACCGGCAAGTAGTTCCTGCCTTCATCTAACACCAAAAGATGCACTACTTCCGGAGGAATTTTTTTCCATTCGAAGCTCACTGGAGACTCCAGGCCTCTGAACACCAGCACTGTCCTCATATGACTGGTAGGCACCGTCATCGCACTGCTCGTCTTCGATTGCGCATACTTTCGCTCCTCAGTTTTATTCTTCGAAGACAGGAAATCCACTAAATTGATTATCTGAGCGGAAGGTACGGCGTAGTGTGTCAGAGGATGACTTCGAAGCACGTACCACTTTGAATGGAATGGATTTTCTACCGCTGTCTGAGGCATTAGAAAAACATGCAAATAAAGACTGCCGTTCTTCCTCGTCCTTTCCGGCAAATGGATTTCAACTGTCGAGGAAAATTCCGACATGAGATCAAAATCAGCCACTCGGAACACTTCTTTTAAATTGGAACTTGAAGAGCTGCTTAAAGAAACATAGAAACGTAGCTGAGCATGCCTGAAACTATGCAAACTCAAGGCAGGCTTTAGACACTGGCTCGATTTTGCAGAATTACAGAGTTCCGGATTAAACAGCTGATAGATTCCATACAAGCTGTGTAGCATGTAAATGATGAAAGCAGCAGACAGCAATCCCCATATGCTGAACTTCATAGCTGCCGTTTCGAACTCTGCCTACACAACAGTCACGCTTTACGTGTATACCACGACAGTACATTAAACTACGATAGCTTGACCGTGTGATCGAAAAGTATTATTGTCACTCTCAGCCGCGTTGGTGTGCAGCTGGTCTTCTTTACTCGTAGCTTTCTTTGGAGTTTAAAATTAATATATTCGAGATAATCTGTGTTAGTGAACTTAAAAATTTTTACTTGCGTGCAGTTTTAAAATTTACAGCATCTTTATCTAAAATTCGCTACTTTTCTTACGAGCGCATGAAATGCGGATCAAGAGGACTTCCAAATTTAGTAACAATTATCGCTTTATTAAATTTTCAGTACAGAATATCAGGGAAGAAGTAAAAATATAACTGCTCAGTGTTAAACATTCTTTCCAGATGTTTAGAATATCCTTTCAGAGGTTTGCTATTCATTTTCCGCCGTATTCTGTCGTTCTGTTCCACCCGCTAGGGAAAATCGCGTCTTACCATTACTATCATGGCATTTTAGTGTGGCGAAATCGCAGAGCACAGGCATTCGGGAATAGCGAATGATAACCCCTACAATCAAAAAAATTTCGCGCATCTACCGTGGTTCGTTCTTAAATATGAAAGAAGTCGTGCTTCAGCACTGTTCTGCTATCAGACGCACATACTGTATCGTGCAATTGAAATGTAAACGATCCCTGTTCGACAGGTTTGTAGTTTGTGGCATTTTTCGAAAGCGTTAATTTAAGGCAAAATATTTACTTATTTATTACTTATTATAACTCCGCCATTGCCGGTCCCAAGCCCGGATGAGAAAGGAGGAGGGTTGGAGACCGTGGCAAGTCTACGTTAAATTCATCCACCTGCCACCCATGGCATTGACGCCTTCGAAAATTATACCGGCTCGGACGTCGCCCGGGTTACCAAGGGTCCCGCAGGCTGTTGGAGGGACTGAGGCAGACTGCGGAAAGTCGGCGATCAGATCCTGCTCATTCCTTTTGCCAGCAGGGAGCGTGGCAGCACAACGACGCCTAACGAAGACCGACGCAACGACGACGAAGACACCAGTCAGCAACGGAGTCGCTACATGTTCTGAACGGAGGAGGCAGACAGCGCGATGCCATTACAGCACGTCAGA